TGGCGCCCCATTGTGAGGAGTATGGAAAATTTGCTATGAGTTATTTGCTGCAGTTCTTTTTTTTTTTGAGATTTTTCGCCTCCATTTTTTTTTTTTGAGCCTTTACCAATTTCATGATAAAGCGAAACAGAGATTTTTCAAACCTTCAGAAAAATAAAGATTTTTTTTTGAAATTTTTGCGAAATTTTATGATTTTTTTTTTCAAAATTTTATGAAAAGCTATTTTTAATATTGTTGTAAATGCTGGCTTTAGAAATCATTACTTCCCCGGCTTCTCCTTCGGATTTTCACTTAACGAAAGGCCCAAATCGACCTCTTAACGAAAAACTAAAGTTTTTCGTTCATTGGTCCGGTTTCGAATTAAGAGCAAACAACCCATGGTACGGGATCTTTTAAGTTTTCTTAGCTACTGGAAAATTTACTGCGAATTAACTTACTACAATTTTTTTGACTTAACATCTAAATGAAGAAAAAAAAGAGGGTTTTTGACTTGATCTGTAATCCTTGGAAATGAAGAACAGCGAACTACTTGCAGATGTTTTGGTGACGAACAAAACAAGTATCAGGAAAATGAGTGAGTGTGAGTACGAACTGTTGGGGTCAGAAGGAGGGAACTGTGTTGCTTATTAAACTGTGTTCGCAGAAACGAGGGATGGGATAACCGACCACACTACTCAGATGACCTCCAGAAAAGCACCTCTCGCCAAATGGATGTGTGGTCTAGTGAAGCATGCAAGTGAAAATCTTGCGAGAATCGAGAGAGGAAAGTGAGAGGAGAGGGTGTGATTGCGCTTGGCTTGCGTTCACCCCGATCCTGGTGTTCAATCAGTTGTTTTCTTACTATTATTCACATCGTACGATATGCACAGGTAGAGGATGGAAAAAATCTATCTTACGAATGTCTAATTTTTCTTGCCACTTTTCGACTACCTCTATGTATAGAGAGGGGTTGCAGTTAAGCCGCAACAGTACTGCGTGGAGCAACACAGGCGCGTCACTTCTGAGTGAGCAGCGTTATTAATAAAGCTCTCATGGATCACGTCCAGAAGGGCAGTGCGATCCTGGACAACCAGAGAGCAGTGCGTAAGGGGGAGTGGAACTGCACTCATACCCATGTGCTAGACCGGGCATTTGTGCTGGACACAGTGTCGCAAATCAAAAAACCCCTCAGTATGGCCTGGGTCGACATCCAAAAGGCTTTTGACTCGGTATCCCATAGTTATCTTCTGTGGGTACTTAGGTCAATCTGTACTCCTCGTAAGATCTTTCGAATCTTACAGCGGCTCATGAGCTGTTGGAGTACGCGATACGAGCTCCGAAGGCCCAGAGGACTAGTCCAGAGCCCACTGCTGAAGGTGGTTCGTGGTATCTTTCAAGGAGATACCCTTTCGCCGAAATTGTTCATCCTTGCTATCGCACCACTCAGCCATGCCCTCAGTGACTCGGTCCCTCCACTAAAATCATCTTCGGGGTGGTTAAAAGGTTACGGATTCCGCCTGGGCCACCAATTTTACATGGACGATCTTAAGTTATACCCACGGAACCCCAGGGATTTGGGTCGCCAAACTGAAATAGAAGAATAGAAGAATTCCACGTCTGCTGGTATGGCTATAAACGTGGGGAAGAGCGCGCAAGTCCACTATGATCCGCATGCAAGGCAGAATCTGGATTTGGAAGAGGGTGGAGATGGTGGAATAGACCTACCGATTTTGGTCCCGCCCAAGCCTATAAGTATCTGGGCGTGGAGCAACCACTACTGGCTACGGATCGGGCTGTCGAGCGATTCGAACACGCTCTGACTGCAAAGGCGGAGCTCATTTTCGGCAGCAATCTTACGAATGTTTAATTTCTTTTGCCACTTTCCGACTACCTTTATGTATAGAGAGGGATTGTAGTTAAGCCGCAGCAGTACAGAGGGGAGCAACACAGGCGCGTCACGAATTAAATCATGAGGCAATTGTTACCACAAGAATAGCCAATAGATATGCACTGGTATAGGATGGAAAAAATCAATCTCACGAATGTCTAATTTTTTTTTGCCGCTTTCCGACTACCTCTATATATAGAGAGGGATTGCAGTTAAGCCGCAGCAGTTCTGCGTGGTGCAACACAGGCGCGTCACTTCCGTTTCCTCACCACTGCTGGCCCTTTTACAGGCTACCTCCAGTCTTTCGACCGGAGGTCCTTCTACGTCTGCGAGTAGCAGCCAAGGCCCTTCGCTGGGCAGTTTTGCCGTAGCGCAATAGCGCCGTAGCAATGTATGCTATAGCATTCGCGTCTTCCCCTCAGATATGTAAGTCGTACGATGTGACCTCCCGTAAAATTTTTATATATTTTTGTACAGATTCGAAATGAGTCGTTGTTGTGAGCGAGCTTGAAAAAATATGGGTTTTCCTGCGCAAACTTAATTTTGATTCAAATTTTGCAATTGTTTTTTGTTGGATTTTTTATGATTTT